TTTGTGGAAAAAAATGTCTCCAGTTCATCTTGTGCTTTCTTTATTTCTTTATTTGATGGTTGAGTGGCTTTCTATTCTACACATTCCTGGTTAGACTTATTAGTCCTAGCCCCAATTCCAAAGAGTTTCAAAGTGCACAGTTCTGAATTGAACCAGCATTGTAATCTGTTTGCCCTTTAAAGTACCTTAAATTCATGGTATTTAAATTCTTGGAAGATTGCCTTAAGGAAATACAGGTCATTGATTTCAGTAGTGTAAAATTGATTTTGTTTCACACTCTGCAAACAGAGCTGAATGTAGTGTTGTTCCCCTTGGGCCCTCATCGAGCCACCAATACCGAAGGGTCTGGAAACAGTGGTGCGCCTTGGTTAAGATCTCAAGCTCTAGAGCCAGAGCACCAGGGATTTCCATTCCAGCTCTAAAACTTTCGAGTTGTGTAAACAAGCAAGTTGCTTTTTCTTTGTGCCATAGTTTTCTTGTCCCAGTGGGAGTAGTAAGAGTACCTACTGATTAGTTTGTTTTAAGATTTAGATGTTAATTTTAAAGCACTTATAACTGAGTCTGGCACAAAAGCATCACTCAATACATGTTAGCTATTATAAAACTCCAGGCTATTTACTAGATCGATGAAAGTATTCTCTGTTTAGTTTCTAATATCAGAAATATTGATGTTGTCTCTGAGCATATCTTTATTTTAAGGAGACCAAAAAACCCATAAAAGAATTTTGTTTTTTATTTCTAGCAAATGCACTGGACTCTCCCGCATTTGCTTTTTGATTCACCCCCTTTCCTATTTGGAGACAACATTCAGCATGTGTCCTCTGTACTCAGATTGCTCAGGTGACTCCCTGCTACACTACATCCTTGTGCAACCTGGAGCACATTACTTGACTCCTCTGTGCCTCTGTAAAATGGAATTATAAATGTATCTTCTTAATATTTCTTTATTAGGATTTAATGAGTGAAACCATCTGAAGCTGTGACTGACGTAGTCAGTAAACACTCCATAAAAGTTAGCCATAGTCATCATTCTGAAAATGAAAAAATTTTCGTTTTTTCTAAAAATTCTTTTTTTTTTTGCACTGATAATTTTTAATTTTTAAAAAGGACTTTTATTAATCAGAGGGGTGTGTGTGTATTACAGATCAGAAATGGAGTCTAGCAAACTTAAGCACAAAGAAACTTTCCTGGAACTTTATAGAATGGCTCACCACCTGGAAGGAATACCTAAGGAACAAGTATCAGAAAGAGCAGCTAAAGAACCATAGCAGCTTTGGTGATGCAGGTGGCAAGAGTTAATCTGATGGTTAGTTAATCTAACCATCTTGTGAGAGCGCTGCAGCTGGAATTTGCTCCAGCCATTTTTCTGTCCTTGTGACAATCCACTCAAGCTTCCGTGGCCTGCAATAAAAAAGGTCTGATTTACCTGGTGGGGACCCTGAGCCCAGCCTTGCTAAAGGCAAGGCAGTCATTTTAAGGGGCAGTCTTATCGAAACTCTTCACGACAAGGGTACAGTTGTGTACCCTCTGACAACTTGAATTTCTATCTTATTGGCAGTCAGAATTTGTTATTAGAAAAAAGGGGATGTGGAGACTCGGCAGCCCAAAACCAGCACAGATTTACTATAGCCCTAGTGCGTGCATGTTTTTAGCTATCAAAAACAAAGGCTTAGAAACACAAGGTCACCAGCACTTAATTATAAAAACGAATATTGGTATACGATTCAGAAAATATGAGCTCTAGGCCCAGCCCTTTCTCACTGATTTACTACAGCTTTTGCGGGCCCTGTTTCCTTATTCCTAAGGTGATAGCAGAAGCACTAAATGATCCCTATGGATTGTTCTAGCAGTAAAACCTTAAAGTACCCTTTCTGTCTTTTCATTGTTTTTACACATGTACACACCCCCATAAAGTGCAGTTTAATACTCAAGTATGAGAATATATGTAAACCAAAGTTTAAACAGTTAATTTTGACACAAAATACCACAATTAGTCATTGTTATTATTTTGGGCTTATATTAGATCAAGAAAGGGAGGATGTATATTTGATGAGAAGCTAAAATTCTGTAGATATTGATGTTTATAAAGAGGTAGTGGTGTAATCATTGTATAAGAGTGAAAAATAATTTCAGTTTAAATGGAATTTTAGTTTAAATGTGGAATTTCCATTTCCGCAATTATATTTTCATGGCTAAGGGACTCATAAATATTTATTACTTACCAGAAAGGATATTTTATATTTATTCTAAGCTTTTATATATCTTTAATACTTTAGGTATAAACTACTGAAGTAGTATTGTAGTTTAGGTATGAACTACTAGTATCAATATTGTGTCTTGTTAGTGGGCTCCTTCAAGTAGGCTAGATGAGCAAAACTTTATATGTATTTTTGGCCACTGAAGAATTGATTCAGATGTCTCTGAAAATATAGTTGTTTTGTTTCATTGCAGTGGTTTTTAAACAATATTTACGTTTTTAAAAGTGTTAACCTAAATTATTTTACCAATTAAAAACAATAATCAGATGTTCCTTTATTACTATGATTACATATAAATTTGCTATGTACAATGGCTCTATATTGAGGAAATAGGTAGTTTAATTTGCAATCACTCCAAAATATGTGAGGTTAATTACATGTCTCTTGAAAACTTTCTAAGCCATAATGCCAAGATTGCTTATTTACACTATTCACGGGAGACACAACTTACTGTCTGCAATTCTGACTCAAGAACAGAAGGCAGATCAGAGACTATAAATGGAAAGAATATTGGTTCAAGGTTTTAAACTAAAATGTAGACAAATTTCTAAGAAAAATTGAGAGTTTTAATAAAAACTAAAAGAATTCTGATACATAAATACAAAATTATTTTATCTTTATCATTCAAAAGTCGTATTTTAGGAGATTAGAGACATATGGAGAATAATTAGGTCATCAGACTGTCTACTAACCAAACACGTCTTGACCATGCTGCCATCTCAAACAGCAGCCTGCAGTCTACACAAACATTGTAGGAATTAAGTATTTCTACATTTTTTAAAAGACGAAATCAGTAATTTTCTGGAAGGAAAAGAATAACGATAACAATGACGGTTATAACAATCAGTACTTACTGAGTATGGCAGGCTCTGTTCTCATTTATATTAATGAACTCATTTCAGCCTCATATATTCTTGTGATACAGGAACTCATAGTATCCCCATTTCACAAGTGGGGAAAATGTAATTGACTTGTCCAAGGTTCAATTACATTAGAATGGGATTCAAAACAGAAGCTTGGTTCCACAATCTGTGCTCTAAACCACTGTGCTGTAAGAAGATAAAATAAATATAAGATAAAGTTTGTATAATTTAAGCCCATATGCTCAGCTGTTTTTATGCTATATTTGAGAATTTTTCAAAGTTTCCTTAATACTGATTACTTTTTGGCTGCTTACTCACCAGATGTACCTGGTTGACTGAAATTTCCCATGTGTTCAGTTGAAGGAGATTAATATATTTTTAATCCCATAAGAAAAAAAAATTAGATGTTACAAATTTGACTTAATAAATTCATAATTTCCTTGGTAACAGAAATCATAGTTATTGCCCATATTACTACTCTATAGTAGCTAACACTATGCCTTATCTATAATATTAATACATACTAAGTCTATTTTGTAACTTTACATTTGCCGAATTTTCATTAAGTAGATCTGGTTTTCAAATATGGCCTATTAAAGATACAAATATTTTAATGAAAGTTGGTCTGATTCTGTAGATTATAAAATTCAAAATCAAATTTACATTACAGGGACGCTACTCAAAATCAAGATTATAGAATTTGTGTAATTGTCTTGGATCACATACAGCATTTATCATAGTTTGTTACTACAATTATGTGCAGATTGCACTATATCATTAATATAAATCTAAATTAAAAAGAGCAACGATTTAGAACAGAATAAAATTTTCTTCTTACTAGTTCTGTGACTATTAACACTGATCTTTGTTTCCTCAATTCTAAAATGGAAGTAATGTCTCTACTTTTGGGTTGTAACAGCTACATGAGCTTATACTTATAATATTTACACTTTGGTTAGTTTTTACACTCATTCTTTAATTAAGTGATTTTTTTCCTACAATCTGCTGCTTCTATCCCCAAATAAAATTGTTTCTATTTCGCCACCTTTCTTTTCAGTGTTTAGACTTACAAATACATACCATTTATTTAGGCTAGAAGCTTTTTAAAAATCCCACATTTAATTACATGAAACCAGATTAAAATTTGTTTTAAAATACTTTCTTGGGAGACAAATTTCTGTGAAAGAAACAAATTTGTATGGATTTTTCATTGTCGGTAACTTGAGTTAATTGAATGTAAGCTGCATTCTCTTTTTATAATACGTACAGTCTTGTTGAAACTTTTTAAATTGTGACTACCTGAAATGTTGCTGTTTCAATCAGAGATATCGTATTTTGAACCTCAAAGAAAATTGAGTTGATTTTATGTGCTCCAAAATACTACCAATATTCACAGATGTAATCAAATATGAGAAATGTTCATTCTACATTTATAGATTTTGTTCTAACTTTTCAAATTAAAGCTACTTAAAATAACTTTTTGACTTTAGAAACCTCTTATTTTTTTCAGGATCTGCATAGAGTTTCAGCGTTCTTATAAATGTTTTATTTGCCCGTTAACCAGGTACTTCTGAGTCACACCCCTTGGTTACTGTAGTACTATATCTTAGTAACTGCAGTGCATTGCTCCCTCTCCTAGCTACAGTTAAGTTGTGGCTTTAGATTTCTCATTATTTTTTACTCCTTTTAACCGTGGTATCAGTGAGCGCCATTGGTGACACAGAGCAAACATGTGAGAGATTTTGAGCTGAAGTAAAAATAAGTGAAGATCACTACTATCTGTCTCCAAACACATTTTAATCCAGGTGTTTCTGTCGTAACCATGCAACCTCCTGTGGTAAATATGACTGACTGCTCTTTTTTCTTACGCTCTTTTAAGCAAAGTAAAGCAACTGTTTGGCTGAAAGAAGACATGAAAAAGATAGTGGCAGTGCCACTAAATGAGCAGAGGACTTCTACGTATAAAAAGTTATTTGGAGTTAGTCTCCAAGACCTTCAACAGCAGGGGCTCACTGAGAATGGCATTCCAGCTATTGTGGGGAATATAGTGGAGTACTTGACAAAGCATGGTAAGTCAAGTTTTGTTTTAATTGTTTTTTTTACAGTTCTGGCCTATGAGGAGAATGTTTCTGTGTAAATTACTTCATAAAATATGATTGAAATATTACCTAAAACACCTTAATTAAAATATGAAGTTATTGCAGAATATACTTTTTCCTTTTAAAAGGATATTCCCTTTCTTTTTTAAAAGGATGTTAAAAGCGTAATTACTACTTAACATTATTTTGACAATACTAATTTAATTTACCATGGAGCAATCACTTATTGAGGTTTCTAGTTTGGAATGTTTCCTAGTTTTAAGTGCTAAAATACACTTCTGATATTACTACTGAGCTCTCTTGATTCATTACATTTCGACTGATAGGCAATCATTTTTAATGTAATAGAATACTTTTGGGGTATCTCTCTCAGCTAAGGTCAGTCATAAGCTTAATGAATGCCTTGATCGCCCTCATATGCTCAGTGAGGATACCAGAAAAGGTGATATATAGCCTACTTTGGGGGCGGGAGTTATTTACTTTTGGAGTGATAAAATTAAGCATATTAAACAATTGGAGAGTAACAGTACATTGCATTATAAAAGGGTAAATTATATCTCTTCATTATTGAGAGTCATGTTGCCTTATAGCTTTTTTTATAATTTTTCTTAAAATAGGAATTTAAAACAGATAATTTGAGAGAATGTTTCCATACCCCCTACATTTATGGTTTTAACTAGGGCAATATGATGAGAGAACACCAATCTATATAATAAATACTTTTAAAAATTTGAGGAAGAAAATATTCTGAGGGAAAACTTGGAATTTTCATCATTTTCTGTACTAAAACAACATTTCTGTACTTAAACAAAACTTATTGCTGAGTAGAATATAAAATTTGTGGGGATTTTTAAAGATAAGACTTGAGACTTCAAAGAAGTTCGGTACTTTGCAGTTTGCTTCAGGCCTCATATCTTCCCACGATTAGAAATCCAATCCCCTTGCCAAAAGAAATCCTTCACTGGAAATGCTTGAGAAACACGGTGCATTTGTTCCTCTGTAGGAACGTGTGTTGACTTGTGACAGGGACTGTGTGGCAGACAGTTCATACCTCAGAAAGTCAGGTGTTTTGTGTTGAAAAACAGCTGTTTGCTCCAGTTACTAGGTATGTAGATGACAAAATGATATTTTGCTCTGAAAACTGAAGAGCCAGGCTTGCATTTTTACCTTGTAGGTGTTTATTTCCCCGATTTTAGAGGAAGATAAGCTGTAGAAGGGCAAGATTCTTATAGAACAACTCTGATTTGCTTAAGTTAAACAGAAAAGGTGCCAAACACAACACGGCAGGAAGATGGGAGCATGACCAACAAGATCTTGAAGCCAGATGTTATTATGCTAGAGCTTTGACAGAACTCATTGACACACTCAGTGTTGATTAAATTGTTTCCTACTGATTTCAATACAAATGGATTTCTAGGTAATTCATTTAATCTGTGAAATAGGGTTGTTCCGTATTATTCATTTGTATGCTAAAATATGCCCACCTAAAATGTTTTGGTTTTGGTGTAATCAAGTGTTCCAGTTTTTCTTCCAAGAATGATTGAATAATAGCCACTTGGGGTTATGCTTATGTAAAATTATTTTACATTTTTAATTTTTAAAAAATTGTTGAATAGTTAATATACTTCTGTGATTCAAAATACAGGAGGATATCAGAAAGTCTCTCCCTCCAAACCTAGCCCCCTGACCATTCATTTTCACTCTCAGAAACAATATCACTATACTAATTTCTGATATGTTATGACAAAGATATTTGATGAATATATAAGCATATGTTTTTTTCCATTTTAATATAAATATAGCACACCATGCACACTGTTATGAATCTTTTTACAAAACTACATAAGTGTATTTTGGAGATTGTTCCATATGGTATAAAGAGTTTTATTCATTTAATTTTTTTCCCCCATACATACTGTTTGACTATCTGTATCATTTCTTTAAGCAGTCATATACTGATGGGCACTATTCTTGCCAGGCTTCTGTTGTCTACAAAGACTCAGGGACTAACTTTTAACATATGTTACTTTAAGCACTGCGAATATATCTGTAGACTAACTTTCTAGAAGTGGACTGCTAGGTCAAAGGATATGTGCATTTATAATTAACTCTATAAGAGTTGAACCAGTTTATATTCACACCATCATTGTATAAAAATTTTGGTAAAATTTGAATTAGGAGTTGTTTTTCTTCTACTTTTCCTTAGCATATTCTTAGTTATACTCTAATAGGGTATATTCAGGTAATACAAACTAAATGTTTTAGTGGGCAAAATCAGTCATTCTTAGCTAGGAATGTGAAGTAGAATCACTAGTGGAACCTTTCAGAATACCCATGCATCGGTGATACCTCAGAGCTACTGAATCAGAATCCTGACTCTACAAGCTAGGGTAGGGTACCTACCCTATATTTTGAAAGGCGGTGTAGTTAATTACTGTGTTGATAACCAGAAGCCCCTTACTGTATTTGAAATTATCATGTTAATAAACAAAAAAGCCTTTGTAAATTTGAAGGGTGGTATAAAGTTTAAGGGCAAGATACCTCAATTAGTTTTATTTAGTTATTTTGTAGTTTTGTTTTTCAAGTCAACAAATATTTATTGTCCACTTATGAGTAGGCACTGTATCAGGAACGGATACAGGCATGATTGGTCATATAGTTTAACCATAGGTAGATATTGTGGTCATAATTTGTTTAATTAAACATAGACACTTAACTTGACATGAGAGAACCTCTTTATCATTATAAAGGAATTTTAGGACAGATAGGTTTTGTTAAGGCCTCTATCAAGGCCTTTTAAACAGACTTTGGACTTTTTTCCCTTAAATAAAAAAGAAAAATTATACGTATACATTTTTTTGGATTTAAAGGAAAATCTTATGAAGCATATCATAACTTTAGTTATTTTAAAATAACTATCTTGAAACTATCTTGCTGACAGTGTTAACGAATTTCTTCTCTTTAGCATGAAGATACTGTGCAATATGCTGTTTTAAGTAGTGTAGGATTTTCCATTCACCACCAGGTGTCAGAATATGCTTACGTATTGTTATACTACTCTCTGGGTCAGTATGCCACTTAGGCAAATTCTGATTTCTGGCATATTTAGTTTGTAATAATGCAGTCATACTATTTTGAAGTAAAAATTTAAGTCGTATAGAAAAGTAGCTGTCAATGTTGTAGATGTTATTTAGCTTATATATAATTTTTTCATTTCTAAATCATTATTAACTTGATATTTTGTGATGATTAACTCATATCTCTTGAAATCAAATATAAGAGAATATCGTAAATTTATGAGAGTAACTTCACTAAGCCTTCTAGAAAACTTCTTCTCCTGAACATTTCTGTTAATAATCATCATTTCCTAAAAATTTAGGGTGGGAAAATGTAGAGATTATATAGTCTGATAAACTTCATATAAGCATTGGATATATTATAAGTTCATAAGCGGCTTTTGAAAAACAGTATGGATTCTTTTTCCCAAAGTGTAATATAGCCATGGCCAGGGGTAAACTTACCATGGTTAAATATCATAAGAATTGTTTGGGTGAGAGATATTTCTGAGTGAAGAAAGTTGATTGAATAAATGGAATGGAGGCAGAAAAAAATGGTTGAGAAACATTTCCCTTTATAATTTCTCTCTCCACTGGTAAGGTCCGGTGGGATCAAGTAAAGCCAATTCTTGGAGCTGGGTGGTTATTTCGGAATAATTGGAAGTATAGTTATTTGAGTGAAGGGTCAAAAAACCTTGGAAGAGAAAACCTAAGGTGACAGCTAGAAAAACACTGAAATCTGACCTCGGGAGCATTTGCTAGGCCAAAAACAGGTTCAGGAGCTGAGTAGTTACAGGGCTATGATGCAGACTTCTATTTTCAGGTTTGGGGCCTTGACCGGGGATGGGATTCTTTTTTATTGGGTGCTATCAGCTTGATATACGTATCTGCCAATACGTATTTCTGCCAATACGTATTTCTGAAGTTACAAATGAAGTTATAGGTTAGAGGAAACAGACCTTGAAAGCTTTAAGAATGACTGAGCTGAAGTCTCCCAATAGTAACTGATATTCTGCAGTATTAAAGGGAATGGTATATCATATTAGTTGTATTACCGTATAAGGGTTTACTCCAGAATATAGCAGATTAAAACAAAGGTGTTTATTATCTCACAGTTTCTGTGGGTCAGGAATCTGGGCACAGCTGAGTTATTATGCCTTTTGTCTAAGAGTCTCTTATAAGGCTGCAGCCATGGTGTTGGCTGAGGCTACCATCATATCAGGACTTGACTAGGGAAAGGTTCACTTCTCAGCTCATTCACATGGTTGGTGGCAGGATTCAGTTCTTGTGGGCTGTTGACCTGAGGGTTTTAATTTCTCACTAGATGTTGTCTAGAAACTGCCCTCAGTTCCTTGCCACGTGGACTGCTCCATAAGTTAGCTAACAAAATAAGTAGCAGCTAATTGATCAGAGTTAGCAAGTACAAAAAGCCAAAGAGAGAGAGAGAGAGAATACAAGCAAGAATGGTGCACATCAGTCTTTTATAATCTAATCTCAGAAGTGAGTTTAGAACTTAATCACACCATTTTGCTACATTTTGTTGATTAGAAGCAAGTCACTAGGTCCAGCCCAGTGGGCGGGGATTACACATGGGTGTGGATACCAAGTGGTAGGGATCACTGGGGCCATTTGAGAAGCTGCCTACTACACATAGTAACTGGCATCTCCTCTGATTACATGGTGCTTTGGCCATTCTGGTTGTTAATTATTTTTAATATCATCTCTGGTTTCATAAATTTTTGTCAAAATTGGAGCTAAAATTCATGTCAACTTTGTGTTCTTCACCTCCAAATTATGTGCGTATATGTATATGTTTATAAATATAAACATTGTACCAGACTACAAACTCCATAAAGATAATGATAGTGTTTGAATTTTTTTCTTACAGCTGTTTTTTTCACTATCTAACATAGTGCCAAGTACTCATTAAATATTTGTTGAATTAAAGGGTTCATAACATGTTTTATCAAATTACAAGTTGAAATTAGTACCCTTTTTTCTTTAGAAAGAGCAATATAATTAGCAGGTAAGCTAAAGAAGCAAAGGCTGATATAAACAAACACCTCCCATGTAAATAATTGTAATAGACTTTAATGCTTATGTCATTGCTACCGTTTATCATTAGGCTCTTAAAAGAAAAGTGGCAAATTAAGTCCTTGGGTTACTCTTTCTTAGATTGTTTCTTACACCTTCAGCATTCCTTCGTGGTCTGGTTCACTTGCTTTCATGGTATTGTTTCCTCGAACCGAGCACACTGAGCTGGAGATCATTGTCCTCTACCCTGAACCAGCTATCAGCCCTGACTCTCTCTCAACCTTATCCTTTACAGTGCTGCTGCTCCTGGATTCCTAGTTTTCAAACTTTAAAGTTACCTTTCAGCCCTTCCTCTTCCTTACTTCTCCTTTGCACTGAGTTACCAAATCATCTTTATTCGCTCCATTTCATTTCCTTCCCACCACAATCTTATTGCCTTCCAGTAGAATGTAGTCTCAGAAGACAAGGTCTCTGCCATCTCCATTCTCTACTTCTTAGTTAGGTAGGTCTTCCTTAAACCTTTATTATATTGTGTCTGCCCCCACTCCACACTTAATGCTCCAATGATAAAATCTTCATTCTTTAAATTGACATTCATGGCCCTGTCCCATTTCTTCTATTGTATTACCCCACTGCTTTTTGACCTAAACACTCCATATTTTTATGCCTGCCTTTCTTTATGTTGTCCTGTCTTAGCTTCTCAATTCATATATTTGTTTCTCTTTGTCAGGTATAGATCAAGGTTTTGTGGGTCTTGAGTGTAATGTTTTGGGCCTTTTTAAGAAAAAGAATATAAAATTAATACCAAATTAGGGACAGAACATTGGAAAGGGCCTAATAAACAAGTGAGAGGCCCTGAAGCTTAAACTGCATTAGTTTCACATGAATCAGCCTTGGCCCTTCTTTGTTGCCTATGCTTTAGCCAATGATTATGCAAAGGAGCCAGAAGCTCCTCCGTGAAGCCTTGTCTACTGATCCAGCCAACACTAACCTCCCCATCAGTCAGCCGAAGGCAAGGATCTTGTCTTATACTCCTTTATAGTCCCACAGAGTCTTATATATGAATTTAGTGATTACTAAAGAAATCTTAATTAAATTATTACAAAGAAAATCATGTATACTTTAGAAGTTTCTTACAGGTTATTTTTTTTAAAATAGTTCTCGAAATGCTAAGCTGCTGTTGGAGCTCAGAGTAAACTTCTGTTACGTACTATAGAAGATTATATGAATGAAATGTCTTTGTAGAGTGTTACGTGTTCTGTGGTTATATATGTCCTAGCCTTATTTTTAGAGGTCAGCTTTTATAACAATAGTTGATATGTAATAGACATGAAATGTTATTATTCTAAGAAAACATTTTTATAAAAAGTGAAAATCTTCCAGTGCTTGGCTATTAGAGTATTCAGAGAATCTGTACTGAGCTTTATTTTCGTGGTTGTTTAGAGTTTGTATCTGTGAGAGACCTCCATTTATTTTCTGTGTGTCTACTTTATTATTGCAGGACTCACCCAGGAAGGCCTTTTTAGGGTGAATGGCAATATGAAGGTGGTGGAACATCTTCGATCAAAATTCGAGAGTGGAATGCCCGTGGAGCTCGGGAAAGATGGTGATGTCTGCTCAGCAGCCAGTCTGCTCAAGCTCTTCCTGAGGGAGCTGCCGGAGAGCGTGGTTACCTCGGCCTTACATCCTCGATTCATTCAGCTCTGTCAGGGTTAGTGCAATAGTCCTTTTAGGAATTAAAACAATTTTATTTTTCAGTTAAAACCAAGGTTTTAAATATTACATATTTAATTTTTAAATATTTAAACTGGAAATGTTAAAATGAGCTTTTACACATTTGTGATCATAGCCACCATCTTGCTCTTTTATTCTAGGCCCTCATCTCCTGCCCTACAATAATACTAAATTGACTATGAATACCTTTGGTAAATGGAATTTCTAAGACAATTGGTATATGAATACTTTAATAACATAATATTGAAAAGTCTTGATGCTTTGGGGCCAAAAAAATTTCTTTTCTGACTAATGACTGCAAGAAGAGTGAGAATAAGACATTAAATTCTGTGTACGAAACCTTTAGTAAGTTGTGTTGGGTTGGTGACCTTTAAGACTGAAAGGTTGCTGGTGTGTTTTCTTTTTCTTGTAAATAAAATTGAATTCTAAAATAATTGTATTCATTTTGTGAGGTAAAACTGATTTATGATTATAGTATGAGGTGATTTTAAATGAAGAAACTTCATTTTTAAATGTAAATTATAGGCATAATCATTATTGAGTTTTCCCTCTTAAATTAAGAAAAATGATTTAACATTGAAAAGTCATTTCTTAATTTTTGCCAACTTAGAATAAAAAGGGGAAAATGTATTTATAAGAGTGTGTTACTAGATTAAGGATTAAAGCCACATTCCTTTAAAGCAGTGGTATAACTATTCTCATGTAGTGTAGTAAACAATGAGATAAGTGAAAAGCCATGGTGTATGTTTTATTTATTGAAAAATAGTGTTAAAATATGAAAGCAAAAAATGCAGAAGCACTTGTGTGTTCTCATTTTCTACAGTGCTTTTAAACTTTCTGTGTCAGAAAGTGACATTTGGTAAGTAACACATGTTTGATGCTTGTTCATTGGAAACTGAACTTTTTCATGTTCTCATCTATGAGCATTTCAAGAAGGTGGCCATTGATTCTATTTAAATAATTCTTACAGGGAACATTTATCCATGTCATAGGGATATGAAGTTTTAAGATAAATTTCTGAAAATCATTTTAAAACAGTTGCTGCAAAAGCTAGTTAAAAGATTTAACTATTGTGTTCTTAATACAAAATACTTAGTAATCAAATATTTATTATTACTAAGAATATTTATTTTTAATCTTAATATGAAATACTAATATTGATATTATTAATAATACTAACACTCGTGAATATTTGTGAATACTCGTGAATTTAAAAAGCTTTTATCACATTTTTTATAATAGCTTTCATTTGATAATGAGAATGTACTATTCTCACTATCTCATTAGAATGTACTATTATAGTACTAATGTATTATTATTGTTAATATTAAATTATACTAATATTTTGTTATACTTTATCTTTTGTAAATTATTTTCTTATTCATGATCTGTTTTCTTGGTGGCCAAAAAGTTGATATGTATCATAAAAAGTAAGTAGTATCATTCTTAAGAGCAAGACTGGTTATATAGCAGTCTGTAGGGGTGCGTGATTATGCACAAATAAATTCTGAATGGGACAGAGAAACAAATTTTTGCTTTTATTAGTATTATTCCCTCATTTCTGAAAACCTCTGAGATGGCCCTTGAAGAAAGTATTAATGGAGTACCTACTAGTTATGTAAACTGCTAAGTAGAGAAAATAAAGTATGCTTTAAGTGTCAGACTGTACAGCCTCTATAAAATAAACCTCTCTTTAATAATTCAAATAGAAAATAGTTGCTGTGTCTTGCTGGTTTATGCGGTGTGCAGGCACTCCTACAGTAGAGGATATATGCCGGAGCTGCTCACTCTAGAGCTGGAGGCAGCAAGGCTCTTTACAGACTCACTAAAAGCAGTTATAGTATTCTCATCTCCCCTTTTCTACTATACATTAATAGAGTATGATATTGTTTTAATATAATTTCCTTAGTAAAAACAACCCTGCTTTCATATATTAGTCCTCATAGTAACAGATTTACTAGTTTTCTTGATATTTTGTCACAACTCAATGCCAAATTTCTTTTTTAAAAAAGTATGTGTCTTTAAATTACATATCCAGAGTAAAGAGGAAGCTATTTCATAATACAGTATAATTAAAATTTTTCAGATCAAGATCCTCTCTTCCATACTGTATAGGATGACGTTCTGGAACCCCAACGAAGTATTTTTTTCAGACATTTAAGCTAAACCAAAACTGCCCCTGAGAACAGTCTGGACACTGCCTGTGAGCATCCCTGATGCTGTCATCATCCTTTGATCCTAACGATCAACAAGGACCCTCTGTAAGGAAGAACACCATTTACATTTGTTCATTTTTATAACAAATTATCAACTTTAGATTTGTCTGGTGTCTAAAACTCTATGATTATATTTTTTAGTTAGGAAACCCATATATCTGCATACTAGATATTTATCAAAAACTTCTACTTAAAGTTTATTTCTGCAAGACCTTTTGCTTCTGTCAAAGGCCTGGTTCTGGCAATTCATATTTAAGAAAGAGACTGTAAAGAACATTTTGATGATCATCTTTTCCTGTTGTCATGGTAAACTTATCTCTGATTGCAACAACTCACTTTCCTTAATTGAGGTTTCCAGTATAATTATCTCAGTTTGGCTGTATCCCATGACTCTGATCTTTTATCCTTATCTTGTTGGGCCAGTAATATGTGTTCTTTTTTTTTATTTTATTTTAATAATCTCAGGTATGTTTTGAGAATAGCTATGAATTGCAAGCAATAAAGAAGATTTTAGAATAGGATTTATTTAATTTAGGGTTAACTAGAAATCCCTTTATTTAAATGTTCCCTGAAAAATATACTATAATATAAATGCAAATATTTCTATCTCATAATTGAATATGGAAGGGGCCACCCTGGCAGAGGGTGTTTGTCAGACTTTTGTGAATAGAAGCTAATAAATTAGGAAGGGAATTTTGAGGCAAGGTTGTTATTCAGTGAATTGGAATTGGATTAGTCCAATATTTATTTAGTACCATCTACTTAGACATGGGATGATATCAAGAAATAATGGATTAAGCATCCTGATTTCAAGGAGTGTGCAATTTAATTGAGGAGGTAGGATGTGCATGTAATAGTCACAATATTTCAAATGAGTAATAAGAACATCCAGTCAACAGTAATAAAGAGAGAGGGAAATCAATCAATTATGATAGTTAGAGAATGCTTTGTGGTCAAAATAAAATCAGGGTACGTAAGATTAATTTGAATGAAGAGGAAAATCTAGGTGAGAAAAGGGCATGAGCAAAACACTATTAGTGTAAGACCGAGTTGTCTATACTACAGGAAATTAGCAAAAGGTAGAATTTAAAAAGTAGGCTGAGACTAAGTGGTAGAGGGTCTTCAATGCTAGGCTAAAGCACCAATTTTTATCTATAAACAATGAATTTTTGAAGAAGTCATGATAAAAGCATTATTTTAGGCACTGCTCTATAAAATGGCTTTATGGGAAGATGTAGGTATAGGGAGAACATCTAGAGGACTGGCAGAAATCTAAGTCATGGCCCTAAGAACCTGTATCTGTTGAATAGTTGGCAATGGAATATCTTTACCATTTTAATCATTTTTAAGTGTACAATTCAGTGACATTAAGTACATTCACAATGTTGTACAGCTATCACCACCATTCATTTTCAGAACTTTCTTATCCCAAACTGAAACTGGTAATGGAATTTTGAAGAGACAAAGACATTGGAAAGAAAACCTGAACAGAACATGATAGCTAATTATTAGATAATGAGTAAGAAAAGAGTCAAAGAAGATTCTGTAAGGTTTTGAGTTTAGGTGACTAGAGAAACAGTGGGTCAGGGAGGCATAGTGTGGTGGCCCGACTCTGGTGGCCATACCTTTGGTGAGGCCAGTGGAACTGGGAAGGCCATGATGGCAGATGGTGTTTGTCAGACTGTTGTGAGTAGAAACTAATAAATTAAGAAGGAGGTTTTGAGGCAAGGTTGAATTAGCACCAGGGAGAGCTCCCTGCAAACTCCGTGCTTTGATAGAGCCTGAGGCAACTATTATTCTTTAGTCTTTAGTTCTTTAATTCTAATCTTTTATTTTCTATCTGTTCTGAGGGTAAGCCTTTACATTTTAAAATATTTCAACCTGTCAGACCTGATCTTTTGCCCTGAAAGGAAGAAGCAGCACCGTCTTCAGCTTTTTTAGGAAAGTTTTGTGGCTGACTAATGCTCCTTCCCTACCACTAGTTGAATTTGGGATTTAACCCAAAGGCTCAGTTGCTGTTAGCTTGGTGGAATATGATGATTTCTTTGTGGGGGCTTTATAAATTGTCTATGTCAGAGATTCAGCTGTTTTTATTGAAGATGAGAGATCCTGATGTGGCATCTTGACAATTGGCTCATTATACAAATAATGGAAGAGAAGAGGGGTAGATTATTTTAGGGCCTCGAGATGGAGCTCATTTTAAATAGACCTCATGAAAGATAAATGTCAGTGCATAGAAGGACATGAAGGTTGAAGATGTGAATTTTATAGTCATGTAAGTAGATTCATCAGTCTTAATATTTAGCATTCTGAGCATATGTTTAGACAATATTGTAGCTGTAAACAGATGACAATAAACTAATTTTGATAATCTTTTATCATGATTTAATTGCAAGATTTTGCCTAGATGCTTAACATATGAATAGCTTCTAAATTCCATTACAGCTACTCTTACAATGTTTCATAGATGAGGAAAATGAAGCTCAGCGAGGATGTTACTTACCAAAGAGCAAGCAGCTAGAATATGCAGAACTGGGGTCTGCCTCCCTCCAAAGCCCAAGCGTTTCCTAACATACTGTGTGTATTAGTCAGCTTGGGTTGCCATAACATAATACCACACTTGGTGGCTTAAGCAACAGAAATTCATTTCTGCATAGTTCTGGAGGCTAAAAGTTCAAGATCAGGGTGCTGACAAGGTTGGTTTCTGGTGAGACCTTTTTCCTTGGATTGTAGATGGTACCTTCTCACTGAGTCCTCACAT